CTCGGGTGTGCGTGAAATATGATATAATGTAGCACAAGTTTACCCTCCAATGCGCTGACTCGAGATGACAAATCTGGAAACGGTGCACAGACAGATGACGAAATCCTCATTCATAGCACAAACGGTGGTAATGCGAGCTGAGAAAAGGGGGACAACGGCTATTTCTCGCAGCTTTATACTAGTTGGATCGACCCAACGTCACACTAGCGAGATGGACAGGCACGAGGAAGGACAGGCGAATATCGCGCACATTGATGCATAAAAAGACGATAATCGCATTATCTCAGTCAACTATTTCACGTTCGACAACGAGCCCCAATTCGAATGACAACGTTCCAATATACAACTCAGTTTACGTTTCCATTCACTGTGGAAAAATATACACACAGATAATGTGGGATGAATTTGTTGGACTCACCAAATCAGCATGATTCCCGCACAAGCAGTTGATATGAAGTGGTAAATGTTCCACCAGCCTTTAATACGCGATCCGTTTGCGATCAAAATGCGTTCACGAATTGTCAATGTGCAGTAGTACCACACAAGAAGAAAATGAAAAGCCGCATCTACAATTCTGCAAAAAAATACGATGGTTTAGGTTAACGTGATGCGCATAAAGAAGTGCACGGCGGGAGGCAGCGCAGAGTTGTACTGTCACAATGAGCATCACAGGTCGTTAGTGAGGTTGTCGAGTGAAACAAAATTATAGCAAAGAAGTCAGAAGAGAAACCGTCGGTATGAGCAATATATGACGGAGAATGAGAACTGAATGTAAAGCTTTTTGGTTGTCGTAACGCTAATCGTATTACAGTTATTGCTCGCCACATTGCAGTTCGCTTATCGTTGATTCATTCAAAAGGCGGGTTTAAGTTAAAATATACTATATCACTCTATTTAGCGGGACTTAGACCATATATCACGGGATTTTGCAGTGCGCAGATATTAATCAAACATTTATAATTTCAAATATCTTTGATTAATACTTTAAAACAGTAAAAAACAATTAAACAAAAAAATACTAAATTGAAATAAAATATAGCATGTATTTCATCAACAAACAAAAATATAATATATATATATATAAACACAGCGCCAGAAATTCAATGGAAGAGATTAGTTGCCATCACCACCATCGTACAGCGGAATACAGCGAAGCGAACTTCAATTTGCATAAATACCGTTTCAAGCACTTTGGCTTGATAAGAGATGACAACAACAACGCCACTGCTGTCGGTTCCCTGCCATATCCTTCGGTGTCTCCAACCAACCAGTTGCGGAATCTTTTAGACCCCAACCAGGAAGGCGCGACACGCCTATTCTGTCTAATTACTCTGTAAATTTCTTTATCCCTTGTCCCCACGTCATCTGTTGAACTCCAGGTGGTTTCCTCCAGCCGGGAGCGGCTACAGCGAATAAGGCGCGATGTGGTAGACGGAATTTGGGCATACGCAATACGTGCCCTAGCCAGTGAAGTCTACCAATCTGAATTCGATGTGCTAGCAGGTTTATCCCTGATGAACCCCCAAACACGTGACGACATACCTCCAGATTAGTTACGTCTACAGCTTTTGCGGAAATTGAAGCTAGGACCAAGGCCGAAGATACTGCACCACTTGACAAAGCGGCAGGAAAGCTCTTCTTAGCAACGCGGTATATTCATCCTATTGTCACCAGCATCAACATTAGTACTGCACAGCCACATGATTGATGATCTTCATCATTCAACTAGTTGTATAGTTTACTGGGAAATACTCAAATAGGATTTTGTGCATTATTGAAATTGCGCGAGTTTAAGAATGCTGAAAGTAGTTAGCAGCTAACATCAAGTGGGAAACATTTATAGGAGTGGGGAAAGGATTTTTTGGAACCCTAAGATGTGTATGTAATTGAATAGAGCGTCACAAACTTGGATATCTTCATCGCGATTCAGTTCAGTTTTTTCAGTCTGAACAACCATTAACCACGCATATTCGAGCGCCGGTTTTGGCTGCCCATTTGGATGAAGAATAGGAGAAGAAAGGAAAGTTGAAAGTGGAGTCG